AATTTTCTTTTTTGTGGTGTCTTGCCTTGTTTTGGTATTAGAGTGATGCTGGCCTTTTAGAATGAGTTTGGAAGTATTCCCTCCTTTTCTAATTTTTGGAAAACTTTAAGGAGAATGGGCATTAGGTCTTCCCAAAATGTTTGATAAAATTCAGCGGTGAAGCCATCTGGTCCGGGTGTTTTTCTTAGGTAGTTTTTTGATTAACAATTCAATTTCATTTCTAGGAATTGGTCTGTTCAGATTTTCTGTTTCTTCCTTGGTCATCCTTGGAAGGTTGTATTTTTCTTGAAAGTTGTCCATTTCTTCTAGGTGATCCAGTTTGTTAGCATATAATTTTTCATAGTTTTATCTAATAGTTATTTGTATTTATGTGTTATCTATAGTGATTTTTCCTTTCTCATTTATGATTCTCTTTTATTCTTGATAAATATGACTAGGGGTTTATCTATTTTGTTTAATTTCTCAAAGAACCAGCTCCTGCTTTCATTGATTCTATTGTTTTATTCTTCACAATTTTATTTATTTCTGTTCTAATCTTTATTACATCCCTACTTCTACTGACTTTGGGCCTCATTTGTTCTTCTTTTTCTAGTTTCATTAATTGTGAGTTTAGAGTGTTCATATGGGATTGTTCTTCTTTCCTGAGGTAGGCCTGTATTGCAATATACTTCCCTTTTAGCACGGCCTTTGCTGCGGCCCACAGATTTTGCAGTGTTGAGTTATTGTTGTTATTTGTCTCCATATATTGCTTGATCTCTGTTTTAATTTGGTCATTGATCCACTAGTTATTTAGGAGCATGTTGTGAAGCCTCCTTGTGGGATTTTTACATTTTCTTTGCATAATTTATTTCTAGTTTCATACCTTTGTGGTCTGAGAAGCTGGTTGGTACAATTTCAATCTCTTTGAATTTACTGAGGCTCCTTTTGTGGCCTAGTATGTGATCTATTCTTGAAAATGTTCCATGTGCACTTGAGAAGAATGTGTATCCTGCTGCTTTTTGGAGTAGAGTTCTGTAGATGTCTGTTTGGTCCATCGGTTCTGATGTGTTGTTCAATGCCTGTGTCCTTACTTATTTTCTTTCTGGTTGATCTGTCTTTTGGGGTGAGTGGAGTATTGAAGTCTCCTAGAATGAATGCATTGCATTCTATTTCCCCTTTTAATTCTGTTAGTATTTGTTTCACACATGTAGGTGATCCTGTGGTGGGTGTATAGATATTTATATGGTTATATCCTCTTGTTGGATTGACCCATTTATCATTACATAATGTTCTTCTCTGTCTCTTCTGAATTTCTTTGTTTTAAAGTGTATTTTGTCTGATACAAGTACTGCAACACCTGCTTTTTTTCTCCCTATTAATTGCATGAAATATATTTTTCCATCCCTTCACTTTCAGTCTGTGTATGTCTTTGTGTTTGAAGAGTCTCTTGTAGGCAGCGTATAGTTGGGTCTTGTTTTTTTATCCATTCAGTGACTGTATGTCTTTTGATTGGTGTATTCAGATCATTTACCTTTAGGGTGATAATCGATATGTATGTGCTTATTGCCATTGTAGGCTTTAGATTCGTGATTTCCAAAGTTCAAGGGTAACTTCTTTACTATCTAAAGTCTAACTTAACTCACTTAGTATGCTGTTATAAACACAATCTAAAGGTTCTTTTTCCCCCCCTTCTTTTCTTCCTCATCCATTCTTTATATATTAGGTGTTATATTCTGTACTCTTTGTCTATCCCTTTTTATTACCTCTGGTGACAGCTGTTTAACCTTAGGAACACTTTCATCTACAGCAGTCTCTCCAAAATACACTGTAGAGATGGTTTGTGGGAGGTAAAATCTCTCAGCTTTTGCTTATCTGAAAATTGTTTAACCCTTTCTCCAATTTAAATGATAATCTTGCTGGATAAAGTATTCTTGGTTCAAGGCCCTTATCTTCTATTGCATTAAATATATCATGCCACTCCATTCTGGCCTATAAGATTTCTTGATGATAGCCTGATGGGCTTTCCTTTGTATGTCATCTTATTTCTCTCTCTGGCTGCTTTTAATAGTCTGTCCTTATTCTTGGTCTTTGCCATTTTAATTACTATATGTCTTGATGTTGTCCTCATTGGGTCCCTTGTGTTGGGAGATCTGTGGATCTCCATGGCCTGAGAGAGTATCTCCTTCCCCAGACTGGGGAAGTTTACAGCAATTACTTCTTCAAAGACACTTTCTATCCTTTTTTCTCTCTCTTCTTCTTCTGGTACCCCTATAATGAGAATATTGTTCTGCTTCGATTGGTCACACAGTTCTCTCAATATTCTTTCATTCTTAGAGATCCTTTTTCTCTCTGTGCCTCAGCTTCTTTGTATTCCTCTTCCCTAATTTCTATTTCATTTATCATCTCCTCCAGCATATCTAATGTGCTTTTTATACCCTCCATTGTGTTCCTCAATGACTGGATCTCCATCCTAAATTCATTCCTGAGTTCTTGAATATTTTTCTGTACCTCCAGGAGCATGTTTATGGTTTTTATTTTGAAATCTCTTTCAGGGAGATTTATTAATTCAGTCTCACTCGATCCTTTTTCTTGTGTTGAGATTTTGCTTTGAACCAGGTTCCTTTGAAGTTTCATATTTGTCTGTGGTGCCTTCTAGTGCCCAGAAGCTCTACTCTCTGGAGCTGCTCAGCAGCTGGAGCGATGTTGGGGGTTTCTGGGGAGTGGTGCTGGTGCCTGGGGAAAGGAAAGAGCTGTTTTGTGCTTCCCAGCTGCTATGCCTGTCTCCACTGCTAGAACCACTGGGCCGAATATGCGGGTGTAAGCCTTTATGTTTTGTGTTTGTAGCTGCCATTGGTGGGGCTTCCCTCTGACTGGACTGACCCCAGGGCAGGAGCTGCCAGTTTGCATGCCAGGTGCTGGGCAGCTGGGAAGAAGGCATAGCAGGGTGTGTATCATGGTGCGGGGTCTTAGAGCTATGTAGCCAGCCAGGGGGATGGAGCACCTGAAGATCATTTAAGTTCCCATGTGTACCTGTCCTTTCTCCTGAGCAGTAAGCTCTATGCAATCCTTTCCCCTTTAGCAGCTCTCTCGCTTTTAGGAAGTCTCTTAGACTGCCTGCCCCAATCAGCTGTATATGAATCCTTGTTTTCCAGAAGCAGCTGGAAACTCCAGATAGTCTGCCTGTCTTAGCTTTACAACCCCACTAATCACCAGAGCACCATGCAGTGTACATCTGTGCTCCCAGAGCAGATCTCCAGAGCTAGGTGTTCAGCAGTCCCAGGCCTCCACTCCCTCCCCACTCTGTTTCTCTTCCTCCCACGGGTGAGCTGGGTGGGGGAAGGGCTTGGGTCTCACTGGATCAAGGCTTTGGTACCTTACCCTGTTCCCTGAGGTCTGCTCTTTTCTCTAGGTGTATGCAGTCTGGTGCAGCCTTCTTTCCTGTTGCTTTTTCAGGATTAGTTGTATTAATTATATTTTCGTATTATATGTGGTTTTAGGAGGAGGTTTCTGTCTCACCTCTCACGCTGCCATCTTTAATCCTCTCTCTCCCTCCTCCATTCTTTATATATTAGGTATCACATTGTGTACTCTTTGTCTGTCCCTTGATTGACTTTTGGGTTAGTTGATTTGATTTTGTATCTGCTTAGTATTTAATTGTTCTACTTTGCTGTGCTTTTATTTCCCCTGGTGACAGCTATTTAGCCTTAGGAATACTTCCATCTAAAGCTGTCCCTCCAAAATACACTGTAGAAGTGGTTTGTGGGAGGGAAGTTCTCTCAGCTCTTGCTTATCTGAAAACTGTTTAATCTCTCCTTCAAATTTAAATGGGGAGAGGCTCAAGATAGCAGCATGAGTAGGGTGGCATAAATCTCCTCCAAAAACCATATATATATATATTTGAAAATATAACAAATACAACTACGCCTAAAAGGGAAACCAGAAGGTACAGTACAACAGCCAGGCTACACCTACATCTGTGAGAACTCAGCATCTCACGAAAAGGGTAAGATACAAAACTGCGAGCCAGCAGGACCCGAGCACTCCGCCCATCCCAGCTCACTGTGGGGAGGAAAAGAATCAGAGTGGGGAGGGAGTGGAAGCACAGGGCTGCTAAATAACCAGCCCTAGTAATCTGCCCTGGGAGCACAGACACATATTGCATGGTGTCCTGGATATTAGACAAATGGAAAAGTAAAATCCAAGATGGAGACTGTGAGCGGGTTCCCACAGCTGGCTCCCCTGGGACAAAAGAAAAGTGGGTGTTTTTTGAAAGTCTTAAAGGGACAGGGGCTTTACACCTGGATGGAATGGTTCTGGCACACTCAGCCCAGCAGGATGGGAATCCTAAGGAACTTCAGGTGCCCCAACCCACTCACGGATAACCCAGACCCAAAGCCCCTCACAGCAATAAGCAGCCTGCCATTCATTCCACCCTGCCAGCTCTGCAAGCAAACCGGCTGACCCGCCACAGGTGCGAAGCTGCCAGAGAACAGCCCCGCCCACAGCAGCTCGGGAGAGTGTCCCAGAGACTGCTTCCTGTGTGTGGGTAGCTGATACAGGCAGTGAAGAAGGGCAAGGCAACCAGCAAGCATGGCTTTGGTATGTTACTATGTTTCGTGAGGTCTGCTCTGTTTTCCAGGTGTATGCAGTCTGGTACAGTCTTCTTTCCTATTGTTCTTTTAGGATTAATTGTATTAAGTATATTTTCATATTATATGTGATTTTGGGAGGAGTTCTCTGTCTCATCTCTCATTCCACCATTTTGAATCGATTTCCTCAATGCCATTTTTAAGAAATAATTCTTTCCTTAACCACTGTTTTGTAATGCCTCTTTTAACTACTGAAATTCTTTCCACAGTGTCTCTTCTTGGACTATTTAGTTTCCTCACTGATTTATGTCTTTAAAGTAATGATACATGGTTTAAAATACTGTAGCTATAAATTATGTCTTAATGTTTAAAAGTTTTAGGATATGCTTTAGCATAATTTTAAAAGGAATATGAATCTTAAGATATCCTTACCATACACTGGTGTCTTCCCTGGCAGGATGACGATTATCAGCTGTAGCCCTGAGTAGGTGTTCTTGAGATGCCGGAACATGGGCTCCACACTGTCTGCCCCCTGTGCATATTTGCAGAAGCAAGGCTGGCCTTGGATGGGCATCCCTGCATCCTTGGAAATCTTCCGCAGCTGGTCTGTGAAACCCCTAGGTGGAGAAATCACAAATAAAAACCCTGTCTATTCATCAACATCTACAAAATAGTAATGGAAAGTGTGGGAAGTGAATGGAGAGTGAAGCAAAGATTTGTGTGTTCCACATACAAGAGGTCACCAGACTACTGATGTTAAAGGCAATAGTGGGTCAGTAATCTACTTTGCAAACTACGAACCCTACTTTACAGTTGCGTGGCATTTTGTAGCTTACAAAAGGCAGTGATAATAGAACATTCTGGTAAAAACTCAGTTCTAGAATTAGCATGACAGGTTTGAATCCTAGTACTGTTACTAGGTATGAAAATTATGGCAAATTTCTCCAGTATCTCTCATCTGTAAAATGAGTACTTCAGGGTTGGTGTGCTGATTAAATGAGATAGTACATGTAAAGCACTTAGCATGCTGCTCAAGACATGCTAAGAGATAAATTTTAGTTACTGTACATTTTTAAGGATATGCATTATCCTTGCTCAAAAACACTGATTCCTCAGGACAGAGATGAAGTTTGGAGGAATTCCTTCTTTTCCTTTAAAGTGTTTAATTAAAGAAGTCCAAAGTTGAGTATTTTCAGTTAGCCTGAACAAGAGCCATAAGCCTAATGGTTATGAGACTTCTATTAAGTCATGAATAATATAAAATGAAAAGAATAGGTCTAGGCTTGAAAAACAACTGGATATGTTTTCCTTAGCCCCTGGAGGTCAAGTTAAGATTATCACAGCATTATAGTAAATTGTTCTTACGACATTTTAGTTGAAAGCAGGAAGATAAAAACTTTGGAGAAAAAAATTTATTAGGTGAACCTTAAGAAATACATTTAGAGGTTTGGAGCTAATAGAAAGGAGTGGACAGAATTAAATAGAAAATTTTTTAAATTCACATGAAGGAGTCATGGCAAATTCTGAACTGACCTCAAATAAACTGGTCTCTATATCACTCAAGAACTACTCATTATGGGTATATGTTATAGGATCTGTTAGTGGAGATTTAAATTAGATAAGAATCATTTTCTTAAGAAAATTATATTCTAGAGGGGAGATAAATTCACACAAATAATTACAATTCTATTTTACACAAAAAGTGACTTGATAAATTAGTATGTTTATATCCAGCATCTAATCACAGAAAATTGGGTATTATTTAGATAAGCAGAGATAGGAAGGAGGCATTTTCAGGAAAGAGGAGCCATGAGTGGACATGGAAAAAAATGCCAGGGAGACAGAGGGAATACACTGCTTCAGTTTCTCTGTCAGAATAGGTGAAAATGGAAAAAGGACTTAAACAGTGGGTGAAAGCTTCTAAATGTCATACTGACTTTTAATGTTACTCTTTGTTAAAGAGAAGCCTAAAAGGTTTGGAGTGGGGCTAGTAAGTCACAAGTGGAGCTTCTTTCCTAACAGCACCCTTTTCCAGCAAGAGTGACAGCAGAAGCCCTTGAGACTGTCAAAGTCCCAAAGACTTAAGAGTCCCAAAGGGGAGGAGATAGAAAAGCAGTCAAAGTGATAAGAAGGAACTGATAAGGCAAGAATGGAGAGAATGTTAAGAAGGTAGTCAATTGTATCTAATGTTGCACAAATTTTCAGAAAAATAATGGCTGAGAAGAGACCATTGGAACTGATAAGCACAAAGATACTGGAGGTCATCTAGGAATTAGTTTCAGTAGAGCCCAAATTTCAAGGAAGGAGAAAGAACAGAAGCCTGGAAGTCTGAGAGAATAAAATAAGTTAGGTAAATTGAAAACTGAACTTCTTTTTTTTTTTTAGCTTATCCAGAAGATTGGTGAGCCTTTAGATGTTAAGGAAAAGAATCTGGGGAAGAGGAAAAGTGGTGTAGAAGGAGGTCAAATTTTGGACAACAAAAAACTGGGATGAGGAGTTAAATATTCTTTTAAGGAACTCAGTTGAGAATTAAGGACTTTATTTAATCCTCACTCAGTAGATAGCTCCTGTTATCTCTACTTTCAAAAGGTGAAAACTGAAGCAGATGAACTTAAATAAATTATTCATGATAATAAAGCTAGGAAGTGACAAAGCTGGGAATTAAACCTATTTCCCATTAAAAGCCAATAATTCTCCACCTAAAACACAATCTATTAGGATGCCTAGAAGAAGAATGAATCACAAGAATCTTCATCAAACTACTGAAGAGAAACATTTTTAAAGCTTCAGAGATTAAATATACTCCAGGTTGAGGCCACATTGGTTAGAATTTTAGCTGGGTAATATAAAATTGAAATACAAAATGTAAACACAGAAAGGTCCCACTGCCAAACTAATGACAAGACTCACTTCAGTATTTCTTCTCTGCACTGCCTCTGTGTGGCAAAACAAGCTATCGCCCACATTTTGATTTCAACTCCCGTGTGGAATTGTTTCCCTCGCATGTCCCATACTCCATGGCTTGGTGTTGCTACTGTCCGATTCTACAGAAAAGGGAGAAAAAGGAGTAATAAGAAAAAAAAGAAGAAACATTTAAACTATAGTTTATTTCAACAAACTGAAAATAAGCATTTCATATTGCTGAACTGATATATATCTGATATTTGACATGGAATATGCTGTTCTAAATTAATATTATTTACATTTTTATCACAGGAAAGCACAAGTTCTACTGAATTCAAGCAAAAACACTCACCTTGAAACAAAAAAATATTGTTGGTGCAATAGAACACTTTATCTAAATTCCAGACTTAGCTAGGATGCCCTCTCTCCATACATAGAAACTGTATACTTATACTTAAAAACTATCAAGAGAAATTTTACCCGTCCTCCATACTGGAGCATAGGTGCTGGAAGTACACGTCCGGTTACATGGGCCATTTCATCCCGAACTTTAAATTGAAATTCCTGAACAAATGGATCTGTTTCATAATTTGCACTTCTTACCTAACAACAGAAAATATTTGTAGTTACTTTCAAAACTTCCCCCAACTCCTGCTTTACTCATTAGAACCCTCTTTTTTTCCGTGTGTCTGCAACATTTTGTAGTATGTCTAGTAAATGGTGTCCTAACTAAAGAGCAGAGGACTTAACCTGGAGACCACAGATCATGAACAGACTGCAGAAAGTCTGTGAGCTTCCTGATAATTTACAGAACATTTTATGTATCAGGTTGAATAATAAGAAATTTCAACTACTGATGATCCATCAAAATGGTAATTTTATATTACACCTAATGTATTTTAGAGAGAGTGATCTAGAGATTGCAAAAGAAATACATGACCTAAAAAAAGGTTAAGAATTTCTAATTAGAGGATCCAGACATAGACTATTAAAATTTATTTTAAGTAGAGTGTAACAGGAAATACTGGTAATTCTAAGGATTCCCCCCAATTATTTGCTTTGTAATTTACATAAAATTGATTTGAATATTCTCAGATAAAGAGTACCATATTATAAAATTTACTTAATGGGATACACCTAAGACAGATAAGGAAGCCAGTGTCATATAGATCATAATTTTTACATAATATAGTCATACATACAAAGATAAATAATTTAATGTAATTCAGCGTAAACCTGACATCAGAGGTATAATTCATGCTTATAATACGCTATAGTAACTGTTTTCTTCAAAAACATATTTACTTATTCTCAGAGTAAAGGTCAAACAAGGTTACAAAAAGAAGGCAGTATTCAGGTGTCTGAGTAACATCTATTTAAAAAACTATAAAATCCAAATATGGAAAAAGAATCTTCCTGCAATAAGCAGGATAAGTTGTTTTCTCAACTAGGCACTAAAGCATTTCTTCTTTAAGCTTAAATGCCATTCATTTCTGGTATGTTTTAGTGTACTTCCACAGTAAGGTTACAAAGAATAACAACTATTATTTGCTAAGACTTGCTGCTTATGTGTTTGGTGTTAAACGTTGTATAATTAATTTTCACAATAACCTTATAACTATAAAAGTAGGTCTTTTATAATCTTTTCTCAAAGAATAAAACTGAAGCTTAATAAAATTAAATAAATGACTGGCCTAAAACCATATAGCTAAGCAAGTGACATAGAATCTGAAACCATGTGTGTTCTGATTCTAGAGCTCCTACTCCCAATCACTGCACTCGACTTCCAGATGTTAAATTATAATAATACAATAATAGTAATAGTAAGTAAGTGGAAAAACTGGACTTCAGACTCAGAGCTGTTAGAGTCCAAGGCCCATGCTTTTAACCTGTATAACATTGTTTCTCTGAAGGGAAAGGCTATAATAAATGAGTTGGAACAAGTTATTGAGATTTTACAGATAGTGAGGTTCTAGTCTCTTAAAGGTTTTTAAATCTTTTCAAATCTTTTCATATATCAGAGAAAAATCCATGATGAGAACCAGCCTGTATTTTCCTTAAATATCATGTAATAACTTTTACTCACTCTTTATAAAACTATAAGGAAAAAAAAGGTCTTTTTTTCTATTATTGGCTTATACAATCAAAGAGCCAGTTCTGTTACCCTCTTATAAGTTAATCTTTAAAATTGCTTTTGAAAGTGTTACTAAGTTGTTTGGGTGATATTCATATTTCCAGGCCTTTTTCTCTTCACTTTGGCAATTTAAGTGGCATTCAAGAAGAGAGTAAGATGAGATCCAGGTGCCTTTTATTTTTCATTTTGCCTTATTTCATCTTATAAAGTGGTATCGATAACTCTTCCTCCCCATTTAGAACGGTCAGACAGCTCAGAGACTTTACATAGTAGGAACTATCTTATATTTCTTTATTCATCCTGTACATTGCCAGTCTGATCCTGGGGGCTAAGCAATCCTTTTCTGATTGTTAAGCCTCTCACTATTGATAGTCATAATATCTTGACTTCTCCTTTTCTCTTTCTCATTTAGTGGGGAGGTAATAAATTTCCAGTTTACTAAACTGAAACACTATTTCTGAGAGATTCTGCTCTGGATCTACTTAAAGAGCTGGGGTTAAATTAGAAGAATCTAACCCTTCTCATAAAACCCACTAAAGTTTACCCCCAGAACATCACTGGGTTACTTCCATGATCCCTTTTAATTCTGAGAGTCCATGAAATGGTAATAAAGTACAAGCTGGTAAGACATAGTTCTTTCATAGCTCACCCTAATACATTTTTAATTACTATTTCTAAGGTAAGTACTAACCAATCTGCTAATTTCCTCTTGTCTGTCTGGCGCAGATCTTGCTGTTGCTTTGATCATGGTGGAAGTCTGATTGTCTGTTAGTTTCTTGATACATCGTTGCCCTGCCACAATATTACACACCTACAAACGGAAAAACGTTTTATACTAGATGTATCTTTTTAACTCTCAGTGTCAATTACATGTGAAATTAAAATTTAAAATCTCCTTTGTTAAATTGCTTCTTTTTAATATCATATTAAATAAAAAAGTATTAGATAATACTGCTTTATGATAGGATTTTAATTAGGTAAAATGTACACTGGAGAAAAGGGCTGAAAAGAAGTGTTCCAAAAAACTGTTAACGGTGGTTGCATTAAAGTGGTAGCATTGTGGATTTTTTTTCCATATTATTTCATTATCAAAAATATAGAATAAAATTTAAAAACAGTTCAATGTACAAAATAAATGTGAGAGTATGAAGTAAGGTATAGGCCATAAAACACTCCAACAGAATGATGAGTAAGAGGATATTAGTAAGCAGCCTAAACACATTACTTCTAGTGGCAGGTAGGTATGTTTCTGCTCCTGCCCCACTTGCAGACAGGGAAGGTGCGGGTACTTCAGCTGAAGAGTATACTTTTCTCTGAAATACTGTGCTACTGTTCTCTCCACAGTCTGGCCATTTTCTAGCTGTAAAGGAAAGCTGGAAAAAAAAGTACACATTAACAACTCTCATCTCATATGAGCCAGCAAAACTCCCTATCTGCTAACTAGAGCAAGCTGCCTCTTATCATCTCTGTTCTGACAAGTATCAGTTTTTCTTACGTTTGATGGCTGGCAGGCCTTCTTGTTACGTTACAAACACGATATTTCCGTCTCATTGTTCCACAGTGAGTCACTTCAACCTTCAGACCTGTTCCCAACAAGAAAAACTGAGGTTATAGAACTGTCACATAAAATATTTATAGTTATAAAACCTGTTCACTACTATAAAACTAAAAAAAATTCTAAACAGGCAAAATCTGTGATACAGGCTATATGATATAAACGATTTTATATATAACATTGCTACTAATGGTTATAATCATGGTAGACCAAGCTCCAAACCTATCCCCTATCTTATCAAACTCTACACATTAAAAAATAGAATCATAAAATTTGCGAACCCCATAGATCAAGGGACAAAGTTCTCTATTAATAAAAACCCTATTTATGATAAATCCAGTTATTATGCTGGGACAGGGAAAGAGGGATAAAAGAAGACTTAGAATAATTCTCAAGATATACTATAACTTTCAAAGTATGTGATATCTGAATGAAGTCCAGTCTTCATATAATGAATGCAGATCACAATTTCATAAAGCTCCAGAAGGAAGTCTTTCAAAGATGTTTAAAAAGCAAAAAATCCCAGGCCCTATTAACAAAAGTGGACTGCAGTTCTGTTGAAATATATAATATAGCAACACAGCCCTATTACTACTGACTATTAGGTATCAAATGCAACTCAACTAACTCTTGAGCAGGTGATCCCTACCTTCTCATGGAACCAGTGACCCCTTTGAGAATCAATAAACTCTCAGAAAATTGCACATAAACACAACATAGCATATAATTTTAGATGTTCCTGGATGGTTGCAGTCTACCTGTGAACTCTAGGGGTTTGCAAATCCCAGGTCTGCTTTAGCAAGTGAAGCAATGGGTTAAACCATTGCCTTAAATTCTCTGGGATACAATTTCTTAAGCAGTGCTGTCCAAGAGAACTCTCTGAGATGATGGAATGTTCTACATCTGTACTGATTTGGTAATCACTAGCAATATTTGTTACAGAGCATGTAAAATGTGGCTAGTGTGACTGAGAAACTGAAATTTTAATTTAATTTTAAATTAATTTAAGTTTAAATAGCTACATGTGGCTAGTGCTACTGAATTTGGTCCCTGCAGTCTTGGAGCTACCTAGAGAAGAGTTAACAAACATACAGCGGCTACTAGTCACAGATAAATAATCCATTTTCACGGCCTAGAGTCCAAAAGCAGAAAATCTAAAAAGGGATAGATGGGGACAATTTTAGTTTCCTGGTAGTATTTATGGTTACTACTTTTGTATTATTGCCTTTTTATACTTGTGATTCCATAGTGCAGTGGTTCTCAACCAGAGGCAATCTTCCCCTCCAGGGAACATTTTGTAATGTCTGGAGACACTTAAAATCGTCACAACTAGAGGTTGTTATGGGTGTCTAGTGGATGCTAGATTTAGGGAAGCTGCTCAATATCTTATAATGCACAGGAAAGCACTATCTCCCACTCCAGACCACAACAAGGAATCATCCAGTCCAAAATATCAACAGTTGGGAAACCCTGCCATAGTATAACTTGTTTTCCTACTGAATTATCAATTACAGTACCAAACACAAAGTTCATTCATAGTAATATTTTTTTCTAGTATATCAGCACAAATTAAGATGTGAAATGGACCTAGTATCACTGTACCAGATTGGTATATGAGTTTTTCTTGAGAAGTATTCCTAATTGAATCAGTGAGGAATAGTTTTTATTAGTAACTACCTTTATAAAACTAAAATTTCAGATCAGTTAGGGCATTTACTATGCCTCTATAAAGGACACTAGAAAATAAAATATTATCAAGGGAAGGCCTTATAAGAAGGAAATACCAACAATATGAAGTAAGTAAGATATAAAAATGTTTTAGGGGGAAGCACAATAGAAAAATTTTAAACATTTCTGTTATCTATACCACTTAGCAGTTTATTTTCAAGTTTTCCCCTTGAACTAAAAAAAATTATTAGTAAGTTTCTACAAGTATATTAAACATATTTTTACCAAAAATAAATTGGTACTTTTATACACATATGGTACTTTTACCAAATACTTCCTCCAATATTTCTGCTTAATTTTGACGAATTATTATACAATGAAACCACCTTAAAGTTAATATTAAATATTTAGGAACAAGTGCAACTGGAACCAAGGGAATATACTAAAGAAATCTATTCATTATAACATACTTTGTATCACTATTTAATAGTTAACATCAAAATCTTCATGCCAGCTAAAAATCAAACCCAAATATATAGCACAGAACACATAACTTTGATTCTCTTAAGTTACTATGGTAGAAATACTTAATGCACTTTAAAAGGCCCTCTAAAAAAAAAAAGTCACCCTGACTTTTACCAGAGGAAGAAAATCAGTTTGCCAATTAAATCTAGCTCAGATTTTTCTACCCCAAATCTAGGATCATAGGTGCCTAAGACCCAAATCCAGCAGTTAGCAAGAAATTGAATTAAGAAAAAAAATGGACTAGATAATTGTCTGCCCAGGTCCCTCCCCAGCCCTCCATCCAACCAAAAAAATTTTTTGGCTTTAATAAATCAAATATTTAACCTATAAACTTGGCTTTACCTTCACTATAACATCAACTTTATAATGCTTTCTAGTCATTTTTTCAGTCATTTCTTTGGGCCCCTGAGCAGTTGAAGTTAAGATCGAGTCCATGCTCTTCGGGCAGCAGCTGAATCGTTGTTCTGTACATCTTGTATTTTCTGTGATAGAGTGGTGATATGAGTTGATTGCATAGTTACCGCAAAATAATGAAAGTGACTTCATGATATCAGAGGTGGTAACTAAGCAGCAACTCCGCTGGAAACCATGGCATTCAGATGATCGATTGCATATTAACAGTGGGTAATGCACTACCTCCCAACAATGCTAACTCTGAAGTTAATACAGATTATGAAAGGACAATGGCATGGTTGCAATGCAGTAATAATAATGCTTTCTTATTTTGGCACTTAAATAACTTGAGGTAAATGGATGCTCATTTTCAAAGCAGTTAAGATTTTCCTTTTAGTATTTAATCACGACTGTCTCCTTCTGACTGAATGGCAAAGAATGAATGATTACTGGAGGAAGCAGGATGTATTCAGCTACTCTAATAGATTTGGGGAACTGAAAGATGTTCAGTGAATTAATTTCAATGCTTAATTCAAACTACAAGCTGAAAATTATTTGCAACAAACAGTTAAAATCTTAAAACAACCTAACTCTTCTTGGCTACTATGATCAAACACATAATATAAATAGAATTTATACTACTCATTCTAATTAAAGAATGTCTAATTTCTCTTCATGTCTGAATAATAAAGAACAAATACAGTGGAGTCACATCTTACATGAGGATTAGTCTCTAAGTCATGAACAAAGCAAAAATTTTATTTAATTAAAATTATTCTTAAAAAACACCTTAAATTGCTGACATAAGTACAGTGTTAAGTGCATATAAAACTATACAAGTATATAGAAATGTGTTTGTGTATATATAAAGAGTAAATATAAACAATATATGTTTTAGAATACTATTAAAATTACTTTTTTAATTTTTATTTTTTTCTTTGGAAGACCATGTAGAGATGAATTTGTTAGTAAAGCATATATGATGAAATACCACTGTAAAAATTTTAGCTTCTAAAACAGGCAAGATCAATGGTCAGCTGTATAATGTACATAAAATACTGTTTCAACTCTAGTGAAACAGCCTAGCTCCACTTCCATAATTTTTAAAGGAATAAAATCATTTCAAGAAAATAAGGAAGGCATTATATTAGAATATGTTCTAAGAATGACTCTAGTGCTGAAGTTAATGTTCTTGGAATAAGCCTCCTAGTTTTAACAGTATTAAAGAAGCATTTTTCCCATGAGACATGCTTATGCCTTCAGCTAGTAAGGGAAGGTATTAAGAAAAAATTAGCTGATATTGATATCAGTTCCATTTCATGGCATTTCTTTCATTCAAATACAACCTAAGATGTTATGGTAATGAATTTAATGTAACATTTTGGAATTGATCTATATTTTTACTGGTGATGTTACATGAACAGATTTTTATTTAAAAAAATTCAATGAAAGTTTATAACATACATGCATTTTACAGTTAAGTTAAAATTAAATCAACAATATGTCTTTATATAACAATGTTATAACTTATAATAACATGTCTTAATATGTTCCAAATGCTAATTAACTCACCTTTTATCTCTTTGGTGAATTTTACTCGATGGGAATCAGTCAAAGGTCTTGGTTGCTCATCAATATTATGAATGTCAAGAACTTCACACATGAACTGAATTACAGGTTGTGCTTTGTAGAAGGCAGTGGCAGAAACTAAGGAAAACACATATAGCGCAAATTAATGTTTCCTTAAAAAAACTCAGAAACTTGATTTCAGATTCCCTGATAATGAACAAATTATAGTCAAAATTATCCTTTGTAAACTTATGTACATACAAATATATTTATAAAATTGAGCAATTTCAACTTGGACTCTGACTGGAAGACATGTACAAGAACAGAAAGCCAAATACTACAGTTTTTGTAATCTCTTTCATTATGAGTAACTGAATCATTCCATTGTCTACTACATGTACAGGTAAGTGTTCTGGGTATGAGACAAGGCCTGTGAGGCGACAAAGAAGGCCAGAACCCCTCAGTGGATGAAAAAGTTAGGAATTATTTCTTAAACAGAGCTGTCTTTGCCATCTGACTGTTTACTCTAGTGAAAGCTTTCCCTGTCTTGTACAGATTTGAGAAGACAGTGGCATTGATGTTATTGGTGTAATCCAAACTACAGGTAGTAGTAGTAAAAGCTAACTTCCCAAAGTTATCTAGCTACAATTAGTAGTTTTTTAATAGTCAACCAGCATGATTTCTGAGTTTTGGGTTTTGGAACTGGAAGAGCTTCATGAATGGCTAGTCAGTAGATCACCATTACTCATTTCTTAAACACATACTTAAGGCACTATACTTATGACTATTACCTGCTATAAAGGCACTAAAGATAGAATGAAAAGTAAAACCACAACAGATCATAAGTTACATACTTTCATGTTATTTTTTCTACTTAAAAACATGACTGCTGTCTGCTGAGCTAAATCAAAACTTTTTATGTGCTGTTCTTTCTTACCCTCTCCTTGAGTTAGGATTAAATGTCCTCTACACAATGTCCCTCACTTCTGGAAGGATATTTTCAAAGCTTTAACAATAGTTATCTCTGGATATGTGTGAGTGGTGAGGCTACTGTGGATTAAAAAAAAATTTTTTTTAATTTTATTTTTGTCTTCATTTTTAAAATAGTGAGCTCATACTACTTTTTCCTTTATTACAGAAATAATATAAACATGAACTCTTATCATAAAAAATTAAAAAAATATAGATATACAGAGTAAAGACTTCCTCCTGTTTCAACCTCCCCCTTCTTCAAGTATCTTAGGTAACCATCATTATTAGTTAGGTATGTATGCAGCTTGTTCCTTTAATATGCACTTACAGAGATAAAAATGTACATGTAAAACTGTTTTACATGAGATCAGATAATAAATGTTCTAGTTGTTTTATTATTATTTTTTAATTTAACAATGTGTCCTAGAGATCTATGTCAGTACATTCCTTTTAATGACTTCATACTATTCCACAGTATGGGTGCATGATAATTAAATGAATATATACTTCATTCCCCTCTTAATAAAAAAGAACACAAATCGTAAAACATCAGTAACACTATTCTGGGCTTTTTTTTTTTCCTTTCTCATATATCTTAAGATATAGATCTATATGTATTAATACAGAACTATATCATTCTTTTTCAGTTGCAGGATCTCACTGCATGGATGTACTTAATGTCCCTAATGACGGTTAGATTGGTTTTGTTTTTCACTATTACAAAAGAATTCCAATGAACATCCTTATACCTATATATTTGTGTGTGTGTAGGCACACATCCATGGTTTTCTGTAGGAAAGATTTAAGAGGAATTAATACTCATTGCTAAACTTCCACCCAAATAAGCTTTAGAAACACCACCACAACTTCTAACTAAATTAAAAAAAAGAGACATTGGTAAGATTGTATAAGCATTCTGGATATCTTTTTCAAATCTATAGTACTTTAGAAACTATATATACTACATTATTCCATTAAAAATGTGAAAATATTGTTGTGCATTAAAAAAGGCTGGCAAGATACATACCAAATAAATACTTATTGCTTCTGGGTTAATTTTTTAAAAGCAAATAAAGGAAAATAAATATATGGTAAGTAAATGTTTATTTTGACTTTCCTTCAATCCTACAGGTAGATTTTCTTCACTGGATTACTATAATACTAGCATTCTCAACTAATCCCTTACATCATAGTTGAAACTACTAAACAAACATTACTTATCCTGTTTAACATTGTTTCATTATTTTCCCCTACTATTTATACCACGATGCTTCTAATTTTTTTTCCTGTTTACTATCTTTTTACAGGAATGTGGGCATTTGAGGTGAAAAAGTCAGTTAAAAAAAAAGGTTCTTAGGAAAAGGTGGGTTGAAATCAGTGAGCACAGTTGAATAAATGAATTTCAATAAGCAAAGATCTGCTTCTCTACGCCTTGGTTGAATCCTTAACATTTTATAAACCTATATATCTATATGCATTTTATTCCTTTTTCCTCTTTCACAAATTAGCTAATTTTAAGTGAAAAAGTAATGTTTATTTTTAACATTTAAAAACCTTTTTAACAAAACATACCAATTAACATATTAAAGGAAATAAGCATACAGTCATTTCCATAGATGATGGCCCCAAAAATTCAGCACCATAGCTAATACTCCTACTGTACCTGGACTAGAAGGGAACTTCTTTAACTTGATAAAAGCTACCTACCAAAAATCTACAATAAATCCAACTTTCTATAATAGGAAGTTCTAGTTAGCACAGTAATGCGAGTTAGAGAAATAAAAGGTAAAAAGATTGTAAAGGGAGAAACAAAATTATTCTTCACAATATGACTGTCTACCTAGAAAACCCAATAAAATCTATAGATGATTTAATAAGAGAGTTCAACAAGGTTGCTAGATTTAAAATCAATATATGAAAATAAACTACATTCTTACATACCAGCAACCAATTCAAAATGTAACTTAAAAAAAAGATACCACTTAAATCACAAAAATATAAGGCACTTAAGATGAAATCCAAATGAAAAATGTATAAAACCTTTAGAAGTAATAGCTATCTTCACTACTGAAAGGTATTACAGAAGATCTAAATAAGTGGAGTTATATGCTCTATACATGTAAATTATCTCCAAATTAATCTGCAAATTCAAAGCAATTTCAATCAAAATACCAACAGGATATATAATTCCCTCCGCCTCTGGGACTTAAGATGATGATACTAAAACTAACATGAAAGAGCAATGAAACCAGAATAGCCAAGACAATTCTTAAGAGTAAGGTTTACCCTATCAGTCATCAAGATTTGTTAAAATTCTGTTCAAGTCAAGAGACTGTGGGGATGGACACATAGACCAGCAGAGGAGACCTAAAAGCCTACCAATTATTAAAGCATATTTAATAAATTTATATACTATATGCAAAAATAAATTCTTATTCAGAGAACTAAATATGAAAATAAAAACAAACATTTAGAAGAAAATAAAGGATATCTTTATGATCTTGGAGCTAAGGAAGATTTTCTTAAGACACAAAAACTACATACCATTAAATTTATAAGGAAAAAAAATACCATAAACAAGCTAAAAACAAAACCAAAAGCTCAGGCTATAGATTGGTAGAAGATATGTATAATATATATAACAAATAGTATCTGGAATATATAATGAGTTCCTACAAATCAAGGTAAAACAAAAGTGTCAAAGGATATGAACTGGCATTTTATAGAAGAAAAAATCTAAATGACAAAAAACAAATTTTCATGAATTATTTTACTTATAATTAAGAAATACATATAAAAAGAATATTGAGCTATCATTTTACACTAATCAAGACAGCCAAAAGTTTTAAGACTGATAACACAAACTTGTAAAAAAAACAGTGGAAGAATGAAACCTCTCAGATTGTAGGAATATAAACTGACACAAATCAATTAGGAGAGCAAATGGTAATATATAGTAACTCTGAAGATGTGCATAATTTTTAGCCTAACAATTCTGCTATATTGGAATATACACTTTAGAGAAATTTCGTATCTGCAAAAGGAGACATAAGTAAGAATGCTTATTGTAGCATTGTTTTCAATAGTAAAAAAGAATGGAAACAACTTAAATATCCAGCAATAGAATGGATAAATTTGGAGTATATTCACATAACTAAAATTAATGGGCAAGTATTATTCAGATAAATAATACTGAGAAATAAAGTAGAGATACTACTGAGAGGAGTTTGGTGGGAAATGAGATATTATCAACTACTTAGATCACCAGTATCTAGATATGTATAATATACAACTAGGGGGAAAAAATTATCAAAACAAAGTAGATGTCTAGAATTCAGTGTGAGTCTTTCAATTCATGAATACAGTACAGTATATCCTGAATTTATTAAAGTCATTTAAATTTAATCAAGGTTTTATAATAAACTCTATAATTCTCACGTCTTTTAATAGATTAATAAAACTGAAATTTCTGTTGCTGTTGGAAATGTAGCCTTTAACTTTTTTGTCACTGTTTGTTGCACGTTTGCTTTTTTAACTAGGTCTATTTTCTTTTCATGGGTATCAGCATAACTACAGTGTAAAGGACAGGCTTGGACATAAAATAATTTTAATCCTACCCCCAACAATTAATAATGACTTCTCTGAATTTCTATTTGTTCATCTGCACAATTAGAAAAATTCTTACAACTCACAGCATTAGAGTGGAAATAAAATGCCAAGTACCTACTTATGCTCAGAACATGATGGAAGTTCAACTGGGATTCTTTTCTAATTTTTGAAGAACTGACTGCTCATGTCATTTGCTTATTGATCTACTGAAGTCTGAATTCTAGGCAAAATCATTTTGTTAATGCAGACTAACTCCTTGAAGGAGTTTATGGAAGAAGGTTCCATGAAGAAGAGATTAGGATTCTTAAATTTGCTTTTCACTGTGTCAAAACAAAAACATTTTTCTGTTGGGACACAACAGAAAATAATAACAGACATGAAAAAAGAAAATATTTGCCATATTTAAAATAACTAGGACTACATGTACCAACTGCACCCAGGTTCAAAGGAAGAGTATAAAACAGAGCAGTAAACAATGCTGGATCCTTGTAAAAACATAACAATTATACTTTAATGCTGTACACACACTACCTCCTGAGAGATTACATGGTATGGCT